GATGTTGATGACGATGGTGATTATGATGTCAATGACATGATGACGATGATGACAACGACGATGATGATGATGATGACGCGATGATAATGTCGATGATGATGATGACACGATGACGATAATGACGATGATTACAATGACGACGATGACGACGATAATGACAAATATGATGATGACGATGAGATGACGACGATGACGACAATAACAATAATTACGACGTCCATACTGTCTGAAACAGGAATATGGAAACACTTCCACGACGTGCTGCTCAAGACGTATGGCAACCAGCACCATGGCATCAACGTGGTGAGCGGGCCCGTGTTCGACTACAACGCCGACGGCGCTTCGACCCCGTCGACAAAATCCTGCAGTGAGTCCTTCACGTCAGCAGCCCGCACTGGCCATCGTCAACCACTGACTTAGCTCGTGGCTAGCGACGACGATGATGATGATCATGATGACAGCGGCCATGATGATGATCATGATGACAATGGCCATGACGATGATGACAATGGCCATGACGATGATGACAACGATGACAATGACGACAACTATGATGATCACGATGACGATGTTGCTGCACGCCATCCCTGCCCGCCCAGGCACACGGACGCGTCGCTCTTCATGCCGGTCCCCACCCACTACTTCATCGTCCACGAGCTGCCGGACAGGCGAAGGGCCCCAACCAGTGCGAGGGGAAGCTCGAGGCCTCCTCCTTCATCCTGCCGCACAGACCTGACAACGAGAGAGCTGCAACGTGAGAACACCCCCCAGTCTCCCCACCCCCCCACCCCCCACCCCCCACCCCCACCCACCCCCCCACCCCCCCACCCCCACCCCCCCCCCCCCCCCACCCCCCCACCCCCCCACCCCCACCCCCACCCCCCACCCCCCACCCCCCCACCCCCCCACCCCCCCACCCCCCCACCCCCCCACCCCCCCACCCCCCACCCCCCACCCCCCCACCCCCACCCCCCCCCCCCCCCACCCCCCCAACCCCCACCCCCCCTGCAGACACCTCCCACCCCCCACCCCCCAGTGTAGACACCCCCCACCCCCCCCCCCCAGTGTAGACACCCCCCACCCCCCAGTGTAGACACCCCCCACCCCCCACCCCCCAGTGTAGACACCCCCCACCCCCAGTGTAGACACCCCCCACCCCCCACCCCCCAGTGTAGACACCCCCCACCCCCAGTGTAACACCCCCCACCCCCCACCCCCAGTGTAGACACCCCCACCCCCCGTGTAGACACCCCCACCCCCCACCCCCCAGTGTAGACACCCCCCCACCCCCCAGTGTAGACACCCCCCACCCCCCACCCCCCAGTGTAGACACCCCCCACCCCCCAGTGTAGACACCCCCCACCCCCCAGTGTAGACACCCCCCACCCCCAGTGTAGACACCCCCCACCCCCCAGTGTAGACACCCCCCCCCCCAGTGTAGACACCCCCCACCCCCCAGTGTAACACCCCCCCCCCCACCCCCCAGTGTAGACACCCCCCCCCCCCAGTGTAGACACCCCCACCCCCAGTGTAGACACCCCCCACCCCCCAGTGTAGACACCCCCCCCCCCCCAGTGTAGACACCCCCCCCCCCAGTGTAGACACCCCCCACCCCCAGTGTAGACACCCCCACCCCCCAGTGTAGACACCCCCCCCCCCCAGTGTAGACACCCCCCACCCCCAGTGTAGACACCCCCCCACCCCCAGTGTAGACACCCCCCACCCCCAGTGTAGACACCCCCCACCCCCCAGTGTAGACACCCCCACCCCCCAGTGTAGACACCCCCCCCCCCCAGTGTAGCCGCCCCCCCCCCCCCAGTGTAGACGCCCCCCCCCCCCCAGTGTAGACACCCCCCACCCCCCAGTGTAGACACCCCCCACCCCCCAGTGTAGACACCCCCCACCCCCCCGTGTAGACACCCCCCACCCCCCAGTGTAGACACCCCCCCACCCCCAGTGTAGACACCCCCCACCCCCAGTGTAGACACCCCCCACCCCCCAGTGTAGACACCCCCCACCCCCCAGTGTAGACACCCCCCCCCCAGTGTAGACACCCCCCCCCCCAGTGTAGACACCCCCCACCCCCCAGTGTAGACACCCCCCCCCCCAGTGTAGACACCCCCCCCCCCCAGTGTAGACACCCCCCACCCCCCAGTGTAGACACCCCCCACCCCCCAGTGTAGACACCCCCCACCCCCCAGTGTAGACACCCCCACCCCCCAGTGTAGACACCCCCCACCCCCCAGTGTAGACACCCCCCACCCCCCAGTGTAGACACCCCCCCCCCCCAGTGTAACACCCCCCACCCCCCAGTGTAGACACCCCCCACCCCCAGTGTAGACACCCCCCACCCCCCAGTGTAGACACCCCCCACCCCCCAGTGTAGACACCCCCCACCCCCCAGTGTAGACCCCCCCACCCCCCGTGTAGACACCCCCCACCCCCAGTGTAGACACCCCCCACCCCCCAGTGTAGACACCCCCCACCCCCCATGTAGACACCCCCCACCCCCCAGTGTAGACACCCCCCACCCCCAGTGTAGACACCCCCACCCCCCAGTGTAGACACCCCCCACCCCCCAGTGTAGACACCCCCACCCCCCAGTGTAGACACCCCCCACCCCCAGTGTAGACACCCCCACCCCCAGTGTAGACACCCCCCCCCCCCCAGTGTAGACACCCCCCACCCCCCAGTGTAGACGCCCCCCACCCCCCAGTGTAGACACCCCCCACCCCCCAGTGTAGACACCCCCCACCCCCCAGTGTAGACACCCCCCACCCCCCAGTGTAGACACCCCCCCCCCCCAGTGTAGACACCCCCACCCCCCAGTGTAGACACCCCCCACCCCCCAGTAGACACCCCCCACCCCCCAGTGTAGACACCCCCCACCCCCAGTGTAGACACCCCCACCCCCAGTGTAGACACCCCCACCCCCCAGTGTAGACACCCCCCCCCCCAGTGTAGACACCCCCCACCCCCCAGTGTAGACACCCCCCACCCCCCAGTGTAGACACCCCCACCCCCCAGTGTAGACACCCCCCCACCCCCCAGTGTAGACACCCCCCACCCCCCAGTGTAGACCCCCCACCCCCAGTGTAGACACCCCCCACCCCCAGTGTAGACACCCCCCACCCCCCAGTGTAGACACCCCCACCCCCATGTAGACACCCCCCCCCCCCAGTGTAGACACCCCCCACCCCCCTGTAGACACCCCCACCCCCCAGTGTAGACACCCCCCACCCCCCAGTGTAGACACCCCCCCCCACAGTGTAGACCCCCCACCCCCCAGTGTAGACACCCCCCACCCCCCAGTGTAGACACCCCCCACCCCCCAGTGTAGACACCCCCACCCCCCAGTGTAGACACCCCCACCACCCCCAGTGTAGACACCCCCCACCCCCCAGTGTAGACACCCCCCACCCCCCAGTGTAGACACCCCCCCACCCCAGTGTAGACACCCCCCACCCCCCAGTGTAGACACCCCCCCCCCAGTGTAGACACCCCCACCCCCAGTGTAGAAACCCCACCCCCCAGTGTTAGCACCCCCCACCCCCCAGTGTATGTAGACACCCCCCACCCCCCAGTCTGTTAGGACACCCCCCACACCCCAGTGTCAGACACCCTCAGACACCCCCCACCCCCCCACCCCCCAGTGTAGACACCCTCAGGACACCCCCACCCCCCACCCCCCCACCCCCCAAGTTGTAGACACCCCCCACCCCCTCAGTTGTAGAACACCCCCAGACACCCCCAGCGCTCTCCCTCTCCCGCTCTCTTTCCCGTTTCTCTATAAATTAGTAAAGTTTGTTTTGTTTACAAAACTTTACTAATTGGCTGTGGTCGGGTGGTGGTGGTGGGGGTTTAACGACACATTTATATTGACGCGATCTAACCCCACAAAACACCTCTGTTATGGATATATTGGTTGCCCAAAGCCTCCCCACTATTGCTGCTGCTACTGCTG